TATACTCCGCGCGCATGTTCAAGCTGTCTCGATCAACTTGTAGCAGTGTCGAGGCGTTCCTATCAAAAATACATGTACATGAAACAATAAACCAAAAACTCCCCCTTCACTCCATCTTCACGTTTTCAAGTTATTTTGCAAACAGCACGACCTTCAAATCTTTACATAAATAAAGTAAAATGAGCCATCAGCAAATGAGAACTAGGCCAGCAAGGAAAAGACACATGAATACTAAGAAAGGAGAAGCAGGGAACGCAAATGGCAAAAGACCCGAAAGGTTGCAAAATCACCAGATTCGATTATAATGCGTAGACAATACCATAAAGCTCTTTTACTTTTACTAGTTTTAAATCAGAAATTAGCACTCTTCACCTTCCATATTGAACATATTTTTATCCGTTTCTAACTAGATAGAGAAACTGTCAAAACATTTATTGTAATGTGGCCATAATTATTGTACTTTGTACCCAAGGAGGATAAACATAATTTGTTTTAAGCTCTTTGATTGTACCACATCACCGGACAGTCCTTAGATCGATGTAACACAAAAATAAATTATTATATAACTGTAAAAAGACAGCATCGAAAGGCTAGCCACAGCTATCGGGTATTGACGACAGTGGGAGAGACTTTGACTGTATTTCAACCCTAACGTCAGCAAAATCGGCTTCTAGTGGAGAAATAATTGATAGGTCTCTGGTACCACCATGACTGTTTTCTCCACTACTTACCCTCCCACCACAGTCGAAATCCATCCTACTTATTAGGCCTAGTTGTTCCCCTATCTATGCATTCAGCTAACAAGTTCGAAATAAGACTTATTTGGATATAAGAAAAGCTGAATGTCTTTCATTACATCTTGCAAATAGCTTCTGAAAACGTAATTTGAGCATAAGAATTGATTGACGTTTATAACTATTAATTATTTCACCCCAAAAGTTATGCGAAACCATTGATTTATTTCATTAACGAAGTAACAAGGGACAGAACTCTGGATTCCCACTCTCTAAATTAGAAGTTTATAAAGTTGTCGCGTCATTTTGAGACCGTTTACTGTCTCTCAGAAACACATTATTGCACATAAATGCTTTTTATCCTCATTTTGCGCTCGAACATACGCCTGTAATTTAACATTTTAGGTAAGTATTCCACAGTTCAGTGCATTCTGTACATTGCACTTCTTTGTTTAAAAGTGCATAGAGCTAAAATAGAATATAAAATCTTGTATCACATTTGCTCAAGTGTGACAACTCGGAGGCTCAAAAAGAAGGAAAACATGCAGTTAGTGCTGGGACCAGGTCAGGTTGAGGTCTTTTGATGATTGCAAATAAAGTGTATTTAGGTAGAAAGGGTGACTATTATACTTTGCCTTTATTACGATGACATTTTCTTTTGAAATGAAAGCTCCTTCAGTGTTCAAAGAGTTCATCATCTGTTTGACAACTTGTCTGCTGATGGCCCTGCTGGATGGCTGACTGATTAGGTTGCTCTCCAATTAATATCATGGCAATGAGCCACATGGACATGTTGATATGTTGTGATAGTGTTGATAAAATATGGTGTACTGCAAGCGCAAAATCGAACTCTATGCACCAGTGAAGTTGGTAGCCTTGTTTAGCAATGCCAATGAAAATTTAAATTTTCACTTTTGCCCTTTTTTTTTTTGGTACCTAAGAAAGAATTTTCAATTCTAAAAATTATGCTTCTTGAATTTTGAGAATCGGTTCATAAATAAAAAAGTTACGGGGTTGTAAAGGTCGGCAAAATATGGATGACCCACATATATAGGAAAATACTCCTAAAAAGTGGACCACGCAGTAGCAGATTCTGTAAGAAAATCGACGATATCTTGGTAACTAATCGGAGTGTTCGAGAGAAACTTGGCTATCCGATGTGTTTTTGAGTGTAGAAATCATTTCTGCAGTCAGATTTACTACCAATTTCGTAGTTATTTTGTTATAATTAAAATTGTGGTGTACATATTACGATTTTGTGAAAAAGGGGTGTCGGGATGAGTCCATTTTATTTATAGCATCGTATCACAACATGGGATCTTTAAGAATATATGTCGGCAGCGTGACTTAATAATTGCAAAGCTTTTTATGATGACTTTAGACCATGCCAACCGTAAAAGATAAATTAATTAAATCTAGCATGCCGTACAATTAAAAATTCTTTTTCCCCGTTGAGACGCGAACACCCCGAGACGAGATAACCTCGCCTCGGAATACCCCCATTGCGATGTTACAGGGGAATAGAGAGAAAAACAACCGGATGCGCGCGCCTACCATTGCCCTATTTCAAGTGACCAATGAACGGGCCCGGAATAGTCATGCGGAGATTTGTAGGTCACATACATTTGCCACGAGAGTGAGGGGAAAATGGCCGGTCTCGGTGCGAAGCCGCTTTGGATAGGGGGGTAGTCGTGCATTTATGATCAGGTCTAAACAACTACTTGACACAGAACGTTCAAATCTGAGCACACTATAGAGGATAGATAGATCTATTACCACCTCGGCGTTGAAATTCAAACTCCTTATAGTTTTCGGTGTACACGATACGAAAGTGTTCCCGACACCAAAAGTATAGGTTAATTTATGTGTACGAACTTCAACGTCCACATATCATTAGTTTGCCCTATTTTCTGATTGGTTGCCGAGTTTCATTCGGATTGGTTCGGAAATAGAGCAGACCGAGGTTGACAAAGTTAGTCACCTACGCTTCTGCCGGGTCCGCAAAATCGCCCGTAAACGGGGACCAAATTTTCGCCTCGCGGGAAAGCCCGATTGGCATTGCTACCTTGTTATTTATCTTTCATCTCGTATTTATATCAGGTTCAGAAGCTGTCTAGGCCAAGAAGGTGGCTGCTTCTATTATTGTTAACTAGCAATGCCATTAACTTGTCTTTTACGGTTGGCATGGTCTAAAGTCATCATAAAAAGCTTTGCAATTTTTTTGTCACGCTGCCGACATATATTCTTAAAGATCCCATGTTGTGATACGATGCTATAAATAAAATGGACTCATCCCGACACCCCTTTTTCGCAAAATCGTAATATGTACACCACAATTTTAATTATAACAAAATAACTACGAAATTGGTAGTAAATCTGACTGGAGAAATGATTTCTACACTCAAAAACACATCGGGTAGCCAAGTTCCTCTCGAACACTCCAATTAGTTACCAAGATATCGTCGATTTTCTTACAGAATCTGCTACTGCGTGGTCCACTTTTTAGGAGTATTTTCCTATATGTGGGTCATCCATATTTTGCCGACCTTTACAACCCCATAACTTTTTTATTTATGAACCGATTCTCAAAATTCAAGAGAAGCATAATTCTTAGAATTGAAAATTCTTTCTTAGGTTCCAAAAAAAAAGGGGCAAAAGACAAAATTTTAATTTTCATTGGCATTGCTATGTTAACTCCTGTTCTGCGTCTTTGTCGAGATGTAAGTCTTATCAGTAACTTTTTACCGCGGACGTTCCCGGCCGGTTGCCGAGGTCACTCAGTGTGACTGTTAATGTACAGTGAGCGGCCCTGGGAACTTGTGTTTTTGTCGTGAATACCGTGGGGGTGTGATAATCGATGAGGAAGTGGCTATTCTCACCCGGGGTGAGAATAGAAATACGATCGACCTCTCACCGCGGGTGAGACTTGCCTCCGTAGGCTATTCTCACCCGGTGTGAAACAAGACCTGTTTTTCCTAATTTCGGAATACTTTCTATTGATGTGGATGATCAAATGGATAAAGACAAAGAAAAGATTACGTCATAGCACAAAAGTAAGCTAATTTTATCGACTACAAAGATGCTATGGCTATTTCACTTTTCGTTCGAATCGAGCCGAACTACGCGGGTCGCCATTTTGTTTTGCCTGGAAGTTCTCGCAAGATCTACTCCTCCCCTCTTCTCTCTCTCTGTCTCTTTCTGAATACTGTCTATCGGTGTGGATGATCAAATTGACCAAAACAAAGTTTAAAAATGATGTTAAAACACAAAAGTAAATTAATTTGGTCGTCTACAAAGATGCTACGGCTATTTAACTTTTCGAATCGAGCCGAACTACGCGGGTCGCCATTTTGTTTTGCCCGTAAGTTCTCGCGCTACTCCTCTCTCTCTCTCTCTCTCTCTCTCTTTCTCTCTCTCTCTCTCTCCACTGCCCACAGACAAAATTGTACGCTTTTAGTAGGCTAACAGTAGTAGTAGTAATGGAATGTTTGTTCATGGCACAGAATTCTACAATTTTTCTGTTATCACAGTGTAGAATTCTGTGGTTTAGGGTGAACGCAAAATTGGTTGGCCTAGATCTAGGCTATAACGGTGAACGCCCACCGGGTGAGAATAGCCAAAAAGACTCGCCTGCGCTATTCTCACCCGCGGTGAGAATAGAGGTGGCCAATCGATGATGAAAATAACTCTGTATCTTTTATAGCTTTCTATTTATAAGTGTTACGAAAACTTAAATAACCCCTCTCACATAAGTTTATAAGTCATTACGAGTAGTTACTCCCATTTGAATAACATTTTAGACACTTTTGTTGTTATGTATGGTCTGGGGTTCGAAAGGGAACAATATAGGCCAACTTTTGAATGTTTTGCTCTCAAATTATTTTTTTTACAGGCACAGTGGTATTCAAAACTATCAAATAGGCTTAATTTTTATCAGGTAATATCATTTTATATAAATTCAAGCTCTTTTGAAAGATTTTGTATAGAAAAATGGAAGTTTTGTTTCTTGTCTATCCTTTTGAGCTCCTCATGTGTAAGTGGGTCAGTTTGTTCTAATTTCATTGGACGAACAATGAGAGCTACCAACTTGGTGTGTTTTCGTCTCAGTTATGAACCAATGTAGCCTGTTCTAGAAGTAGGCCACAAACTCAAGCAGACTGACGCACACACACTTGAGTTGCAGGAACACGGGAGCCGATCATAACACGGATGATGCTCGGCGCGCGTGCGCTGAGCCAGGGGGCGGACCGATACGGGACCAGACGGAAGATTGTGACATGCGGCATTCAGGCGTGAAATTTAAAGAAAATTAGGGTATACAGTGGGTAACTGTATTGTGAAGGTACATATCTATTCATTACTCCCAGGTTTGCCTTCTATCAATGGTGCGATGACAAATTAGTTGAATTATTATAGTAGCAATGGAAGGGGAACCTGCTTGTAAACATTGCCATCAATGGAAATATGTAGATCTTGGTGAAGAAACCAAACAAGACAAAATGTTGGTGAAAAAATAAATGTTACAGTTTGCAGCAATCTCTTCAAACAGGCTCCCAAATGCCATTTTCAACCCTCTAAAAGCAGTAAATTTCAATTTCTTCTGGGGCTTTGCCCCCTGAATCTCCACCGGGATATTTCCATGTCTTCTTCTCGTAAGCAAAGCTGAAATTTCAAATAATATGTGAGGCATCATGGTGAAATCAGGCACTCTTCAAAATAATGAAATCGATTAGCAATTTTTATCAATTTTTTATTTTTGGCTCAACACCTTTTGTGTCTATTTAAAAACATAATGACGAGTGGCTTTTACTGAAACAAGATGATAAAACACACAAAGAATGTAAAATTTACAGTTTCAAAGGACTCTCAAACTTTGGAATCGGCCAAACTTTGGCGACCATTTTCTCTCATTTGTTACATCTAAACCAAGAGACTCGACCTGCTTCAATCCAAAATATTTCAACTTCTATTGAATATAGATATATTGATAATTTTTTAATCGAAAGCAAGACAAATATTGACAAGCGCCTGATTCCACCACGTCGTGGCACATGTCACATATAGAAGAGCATGTAGTGTTTGTATCAGTTCCGAGCAAAATGAGCTATTTTATGGCTGATCTGTTTCTGACACTAGGGCTGGAATAAATGATGCTTTTAGACAGAGTCAATTCAGAACATGTGATAAAATAATTACATATTATATCATGGAAAAATTGGGTTCCACACTGCCAGCGCACAATAAGAAAGCTTATGCTTTTATCGGGGCTTGCTGTTAGCCTGGGTTCACTGTATAATAAATTTCTGAGCCCAGTGTCCTACTTCTATACTGACACATTTTAGCCATCTTTGTTTGACCTTTTTGATTACTTGAAATTTCCTACACCTTTATCGTGATACTTCGTACAATTACCTCTCCAGTAAGATATTTATTATCTTTGTTGGAAACATCAGCATAGTCAAGTTGAATCATGAACCCTCTTGTAAAACAGGCGCACCTTAGTAAATTAATTTCAAGGTAATGGGCAAACCAGTGAAAGTAACTTCAGGTTCAATGAGTGAAATTCAAGACCAAAATATTTAAAAAGTGTATCATGAATGTGTATTTGAGAACTCTATATATATCTGATTGATTGAGGAAGTTCAGTTTGCTGTATTGTCCTGTCCTAGTCTTTAGATTTTTTACTATTTATGCCTGTGATTTATTTCAGGGGTGTAAATGCCAATGGCAAAGGTTTCAATGCTGATTGCAAAGATAAATGCTGTTGCAGCCCAAGGTCTCTTTCTTGAAAATGCATGTCTAACAGTGTTGAATCAATTCAGACATAAGAATATTTTTTTTGCTTGCAGTAGGGTTGACCAAAAGGCAGTCGACCACCCAAGATGCCTGGCATCACATTGCAAGAAGTTGGGGGAGATTTGGTCATAAATGTTCCAGATGACAAAATTGTCATAGGCAGAGGGCAATTTCTACAGGTTTGTATCCCGATTTCACTGTTCACTACTTGATGGCTTTATACAAAGTTTATTTAAATATGATTATGCTCTCATTTATTACTATGAAAGACAGAGCGGCTATATATATTTGATTATGCTTTCATTTATTACTCTGAAAGACAGAGCAGCTAAATTTTTTAACCGGAAAGCAAACTGATCTGAAGTAAGTCATGGACGACTGACAGCAAAACTACCTGGCATTTACTTATATTGTTAGTAATGAGCTATAATCAATTGATGGTCATAAGTGTGATCTAATTTTTTTGGGGGGTTGTTCTATTGTGCACACAATAGACTAAGACCAAAATTAGTTGAAATAACATTACACAATGTTAAGACATTTTTGTTTTTCATCAAAAGTTTGGCTATTTTGCAGTGGGAGACAATTTTGAAAAAAAAAACAACCTGTGTACCAGAATTCATTCCTCAGACTCTTGCAAATTGGGATTTTCACAAACAGTATAACATGTCAGATTCTTTTTTTTTTTTTTTTTGTCAAATATTATCATGATTGTATATTGTTTTGTTTCAGGTGAGCGACAAGCGTGTGTCAAGAAGTCATGCTCTCCTCGAGATTACAGATGGGAAGCTGTACATTACCCCAGTGAGTGCAACAACAAAAATTTTGTTGTATTATTATAAGTTCGTTATTTAGCAAAGAAATGTTGTTGTAGGAACAATCAGAACATGCCATTCTGAAACCTAGTGTTAGTTTTCGTAACAACATGGTCAGATTTGCTGTATTTGTTCTTGGGCGTTGCTGATTCCTTTGTTAATAGCACCTTAAAACAGTTGATCCTGAAGTTTTGTAAAAATGTAAGATTTTTTTTTTCAGAAAAATCTTATTTCCTGGCTGTAATGCTAGTCTTGTATCAATTTGCTGAGTCTAAAATGCAATATAATTTCACCTTCTGACAGACACACACCAACCCATGCTTCTTACGTAGCCAACCGACAAAGGAGCAGAAGATATTGACCCGGGATGTGAAGCAAGCTTTGGTTCATGGGGATGAATTTGGTCTTTTACCTGACCAGTTCTTTTACAAAGTGTCATATCCCCAAATCAATGGGAAAAGCAGGTAGGTCTCTTGACCCGCTTTCAGTAACAATAGATGAACTTTTTTTTTCGTTCTTCAATTTTTCTATAACTTTATTGAGGCTAATGAGGCCACTGGTGGATGCAGTTTAAGTTTTAAAAAAACTGATTGTGGTGCAAAGGCAATTGATGAATTAGGTCATCTTTGCTGATCAAAAGCGATGCGGTGAAGAATTATTGCAGGAAGGAAGAGGATTCTGGACTTCTCATTTGAAATTATTTTTGTAAAGTGACCTTTGCACAAGTTTATAGAAGTTTTTCAAAAGTGCCCGCTAGCAAAATTTGTTTGTGTCTAGTGTTTTTTGTGGAAGGTTGAAAGTTTACTTACATCACCAAAGCTGTTAAATTTTATACAAGTCATTCGGACATCTGTGACTCTGTAAGCAGGGAGGACATCAGGGCATAGACTTCTGAATGTGTTCATCAGAGGTGCAGAAATGATAGTTATAAAATCATTTTTGATCAATTGCACCTAACCAGCATCTGTGGTGAAATAGTTAGGCTCTTCGAGGTTGCCCTCCCTCAAAACTGAGTGTGATTCCTGTGTCGAGAAGTTCATGTTTTTTAGTGACTTCATCTTTCTGTCAGGGTACTCTTTCATCCCAGGTTGGCCTTGACGAGCGGGGTTTTAGTAGCCTGCCTCTTAAATGGTGTTAATTATGTTGTTTGGGGTGCATATAATATTTGCAGTCAATTTTTTAAAATGATCAATCAGGAAAACTGACTTGTTCGGTTTTTTGTTTTTTTAAAATCTGTGCTTGAGATGTTTGCGTATAGTTTTCTCATGTTCTCATTGATGGTAAGTTGTTTTTGTTCTGCCTGACATCTTTTGCTTTCATCCTGTCATTGATTACGGTTTTGTTTGCTCTGTCTGAGATATCTTGTTGCAACTTTCATCTTCTTAGTGATGATGTCAAGGAAGAGATCAAGGAAAGTGAGAAGTCTGAATCTCCAGCCAACGCTGCCGTCTCAAATGGAGATTCGAGGGATGAATCCGGCAAAGACAGACAGGAGTCCAATGGTCAGTGTGGGTTGTTTATTTCTTTAAGTTGAAAGAAAAGAAGACTATTTGATTTGCTCATTTTGTCTGCTCTCAGTTTAGGTAGGACTCACCTATGAGTGGCATTCTGCATATTTTATAATAATATGCTTTTTTTTTTTTATAGTTTCTAATGGTGACATTTTCCAGGACTCAAACTGCAATGGTTTTACAATTTGAAGATAACAGACCTCTTCATTTGTCAAATGTCTTGAAGAGTAAAGATTAGAAAAATTCTGAAACTATGTATACTTTTTACCAATTGCTGAAAGTATAGCCAAATATAATGCAAATCAAAGAATCTTTTCTTTTCCACCCATTGACAGGCACTTCTTCCGATGTTGCTGCAGCATTTCAAATAGCATTTTTATCTTCCTCAGAGAATACAGAAAAACCAAAAGAAAAATCAGCAGCAGAACCTGACCAGACAGAGCGAGAGCAGAAGCCGCAAGAGAAAGAAAAGGACAAGGAAGAGGAAAGTGAAGAGGTAATTTTTCCCTTGTTTCCTTGTTATTGTATGGTGAGGCTTGTCTAAACTTGTGTTTGCTGCTTAATGTCTGTTGGAAGTTTGTTACTTTGCTCTGCAAGAAGTTAAGTGTCTTCCTGATGCAATATTCTCAATAAATGTTATAAAGATATCTCAAATATTACACCCCTTTAGTGGGATTGTTCTTTCTAAGAATACCCTCTAATACTGAAATACAATGTATGATGGGCATTCATCCTCATCATATAAAAAGAATGTCCCACAAATGAGAAAAGAATGGGACAAGCAAGAATTTGAAATGAAATTCTGTTTATGAACGCCAAAAGTTGTTATGGTGAATTTTGCATGTTTTGAATGATGATTAAATTGCATGAATGTATTTAAACTACAGATTTATTTATGACAAGAAAAACAGGTATCAACACTTCATTGCTTTGCTAACATCACATTTTTTTTACTCTTGTGGGAGGTCTCACTGTGTACAATAACAGGAAATCTATAGTGCCCTGTGGCATAGCCAACAAGAAAGTGTGGTCACACAATAAACTGATATACAGCACAGTCCCTTATGGGTAATGAGTAGCAGAAAAAACATCAGAAATGTCTGGTGGGCCTTGGCTGGCGATTCTGCTCTAGTATGAGGGGGGATGGAGAAGTCAAATTGTACGCTTCTCTTTTGAATAACTTAACATGTACTGAAAGGTGTTAGCAGAGGAATTTATAAAATGTGCCTTGCTTATTGTCTTGGGGATTTCATGCATTTATTTCTCTGCTGTCTCAAAAAAATGGAGTAGCTACTGAAAGTAAATTTGAGTCTTCTTCACAGGGTAAGAAAAAAAAGTTGCCTGGCAAGGATGTGTGGTATTATCATGCTGACAGTCACAGTGTGTTTTTTCTCAGGAGGCCAAGCCAGCATCTAAAGTCCTGCACTTAGAAGGCAAAGGTGACATGGCCATGCCCTTAGAAAAGAAGAGGGTGTTGCCTGATTGGATGCTGAAAGTTGCCGGATCCACCAGCCCTGTCAAGGCCAAACCAGCAGCAAAGAGACCTGTAGCCACGGCTGTCAGCAAAAGAGAACCTGGTAAGTGAAAACTGGCCATTGTAATTCTAGCTGATTTTTATTTCACAGCCTAGGCTCAGTTGGTATGTTTGGGTATGACGTGCAGAGATGCCAAATATCCAGGTATTCTGGCTTTTTCTGGTTTTTCCATACGCTTGCAAAGGAAAGGGGAGAAGTAAGAGAGATGTTTTTGTTTGTTCATTTAATTTTAAAACTTTACAAGGTTTGTTTTTGGTGAGATGTGGTGCTCCACTCGTTTTCAGTTGTTTTTTTCAAAAATCATTTGGCATCCCTGAATGTGGATGAGTCTGGTTCAAACCCCTAAATGCAACGTTCTTGAACTTACATTTTTTTACATTTCAAGGCTCTCTGGCCTCTTGTTCGATTCTTCCGAAGGTTGATATTGGGAGAGCATTAATCCCATACGGTCACCAATTTGTCGCTTTTTAGGACAAGCGGGCTAACCCAGATTTTGGGGGTTTCCAGAAATTTTAACTTTTACCAAAAGTGGGTATTACCCTACCTATAGGAGAAGTTTGGTTTCATTGGTGTGTATATTTTTTTGTTATACAGAAATCTCTTCTTGTCTGTTAAAGAAACAGAATAAGAGTCAAAAAACATTACCTTTGATTTTTTCAAAATATCATTTTTCAGGATAGCCCCCTTGTGCTTAAAAGTGACCAGTTATAACTGGGTTCTGAACTTCTTCCAGTAGATGTTTGTCACGTCCTTATCTTTTAAAGATAAAGGGGTGGGTGGTTGACAGGTGCTCTGGTGTGGTTTGCTACTTCTTTCGTATCAAACATCTGTCACCTTTATCTCCCCTCCTTCTTTTTTGTGTTTGTTACTCCCTTGTAACACCTCTAGTCTTCGGCACTTATATGGCCTTACTGTGTTGCAAATGCTGAAACTCTTACGAAAAGTAAAAAAGATCAAGGGCTTTCTGCTTCTGAATTCTCTGAACCAAGAAAGCTAAATTAAATGTAGATTGGGTGAGTTGTCAGATTTTTTCCTCTGGCAGAGGCTATATATGTTGACCGGTAAATTACTGATGTTTTATTGTCAGAGTGAAATACATTCATACAAAGGAAACAAATCCGGACTCTGCACTGTGGAAAATATGATCAGTGCAAACAACAGACAGGAATGGAGTAGTAAACTAGGTTTGAGCCCAGAAGAAAAAGGATTCAGATTTGAAATGCATTGACATCCATGATACTAGGATTGTTTATGTGATCTCAATACCTAAGTAAATCAACAACCTTGCAGTTATAGGATCAGTCAGAATCCTGGTTTCCAGCTCTTCATGCTTGTATAACACTTGTCCATCTCTAGATTGGAATGATTGCAAGTTGTAACATACATGTGCTTAGTAAATGAAAAAAGTGTCTCGTTTACTGCACTCTAAGGATTGTTTGAAGAGCAGGGATAAGGTTCAGAGGGTCAGACAAGTTATTTTAAAAAGCTTTTGTCACAGGTTCTCAAGGAAGCTCGGAAGGACACAAGAGTACTAGCTGGCAGTGGCTTAGATGTAAAAAGTGAAACAATTAGAGACAAACGTGAGTGGTTGGAGAGCACCAGGCGTAGGTTGTTTCCTCGCCACCTCTTATTTCTCTTTATGAAGCTTTTTTCATGTCCTACATGACCATTAGTGTGCTGATGTGCACCTAAACTAAAACTGAGAAACAAACTCTTTGACTTCAATGGCTCTTCTTATTTCACAGGTACAAAGCTAACCACATATGCGGATGATGATTATGATGATGAAGATGAAGACGAAGAGGAAAAGGAGGTGTACAAACCAAGGAAAAGAGCGAAAGTTGTTGTGAACAGCGATGACGAGTTTGATGAGAATTTCTCAGATGACGATTATGTGCCGGAGAAAACATCGTCTCGGGGTGGCAGAGGGGGGAGGAGAAAGAGGAATGTGAGTGACAGTGAAGAGGAGGATGACTTTAGTGATGATGACGATGATGACTACTCCCCTCAGAGAAAGAAGGCAAGAACTCCAAAGAAAGCCACGCCTAAGAGAGGTAAAGGGAAGAAAGGAGGTGCGAAAGGAAAGAAGACACCTGCAAGGTCGCCTCGGAAGACTCCACAGAGGGGCAGTAGCAGAAAGAAGAAGAATAGTGATGATGACGATGATGAGGATGTGTCTTTGCCAAGGGGAGCATATGATGATGACGACGACGATGATGATGTTGGTTCAGGCCGGAGACCCCAAAGGGCAGCAAGACAGAAAAGAGGAAGTTATGGTAAAGAAATAAAACTAATTATAATGACAATAAAGTGGTGCCTGCCAAACAGCAGCGCCTGTGGGAAGCAAGCTTTTGTTACTGTTGGGCAAAGGGTGCTGCTGAGTTTTCATAAAGGGAAGGGAGATAATCTGAACACGCCTGCGCGCTCACACAAGTTTTAATCGCATGATGTGGTGATGTTATGTCAGAAAGTGAAAACATAGGCAGCGTCAGTGAGCCAATGCTCAATGTGGCTGGGTGGTAGTATGATGCACAGTGGCCAAGACTTTTCCTCCTCTTGAACTGAGCTCCTAGACTCGGCATTGTGTATTTTTTGCTTAAGGGGAGGAGCGACCCTTGATTTTGCAGATTTTGGGTCAGGCTATGCACATTTTATGTTGGCTGATTTTTGAAGATCCACCAGTTTTTTGTCTAAAAATAGCATGGATTCAATTGAGAAAGACTTTATTCTACAGGTAATTTGCCTTTAAAAACATGAGGATGAATTAATATAGTGAATTTTCACAATTATTGTCAGTTTTCGCAAAATGTAATTTTTGTGCTGTTTTTTCCCTACTCCTTCCTTAGTTTTCATCCTTTTGACATGAAACTTTCAGGAAACATAGTTGGCAAGGCTGCCATCAATGTAACAGAAAGATATTTGCGAAAAAAGTAACACTTTTCCTTTGTCAAGCGATTGCGCAACCTAAATTTAGAAAAAGTTTTTTTATACTTTGGGAAAATTCTCATAATTTTTTTTCTTTTGCACGTATTGAAAAAAACTTGCTGTTACTCTGATATGGTTTGGTTCAGGTATACTCTCACCAAATTTGGTCAAATTTGCTCTGTAAATAAGAAAGCCTTAGGGATTTTAAATTCATTGTTTATTTTCAAGATGGCGACGGTTTCCATAGCAACCGTTGTAGCTATGCCAAAATAAAATTGCGTATCAAGAGATTTTACTATGTCAAACTTATATGTGTACTTAGATTTGATCTCGGGCAACAAACATAGAAAATGGTCCTCAAGGGTAGCTCCTCCCGTTAAGCAGGATGTGTTGACAGGATATCTGGGATGTATGCACATTGAAATTATGGGTCAATCTCGATGTTCACAATATTATTGAATTTTTAGTCATAATTTTATTTTAAAATTTAAAAGAACAAAAAAACGTTTTTGTCCAACAGTTAATCGCAATTAAAAATGCTGTTAGAGGAAAAGATTGCTGTTAAAGGGATTGATTTATACAGTAGTCTCCGCCTAAGATCCCGGTGCTCGGGAGCAAGGAAATGCGGGATCTTAGGCGAACCGGGATCTTATCCGATGAACCCAGAGAAGAATCTATGGAGACCCATGTTAAGGCTCACAATCTGTAAAACGGTCTCCCTCCACTCTACAATGAACTGGCGTGACCCCTTGGTGGGTTTATGACGTATGGCGAGCAAACAGTGGTTAACCTTGATGACATATCACAGTGCATAGTGGCATGAGGCGTGCCATTTTCACTTATTATCCTATCATGAGTCTCAAGATCTACGTTTATCCAGTTGCCCCTCCTCTTTACCTGTCAAAAATGTATAGCTTTCCATCTCTGACTGAGTCCCCCCCCCCCCTTCCCCTCCAAACCGCCTTTGTCGTTACACACCATTACGTTGTGAACCCACCAATTAAAATTCAGTCTGTCTCGCAAATTCGGGAGTAGAGACAACTGCTGCAATGGTCAAGGAAGAGTTCACGGTTCGATGTGATCCCGCCTGGAGCGAATGTGTAGGCCCTACCTACCCAGCGAGTGATGCCAGTTTAGGTGGCGAGTTCAGGTGTGAGTGCGATGCCTGGGGAAAACAAACGCGTCGGTCAGTTCACACCCCGGTGTGATCCCGTCTGGGGCAAACATTGTTGTATCGCTTCATCGAGTTTTACAACGTGTATGTGATCACTTTCACGTTAGTGGCTGATCTTTGATGCAACGGACAGTTTATTGATCTCAACTTTTCACTCTTGGTTGATCGGCTGTCCCGCCCGGGTTTTTGTTTAGCAAATTATGATCTGAAATGCGGGATCTTAGCCGAATGTAGACCATCAGAGTGGGATCTTAGGGGTGACTTTTGTATAGTAAAAATTCTGTTTTCCTAAAACAACGGGATCTTAAGCGAACTGGGATCGTACGCGGTGGGATCTTAAGCGAACTGGGATCGTACGCGGTGGGATCTTAAGCGGAGACTACTGTATAGGAAAATTCCGTTACGCAAGCTTTGTCTTATCTGGGTTGCTGTTTAGTGGACACACAGTAGTAATAATTACAGTGTAATAAATAATTATAACAATGACAACAAAGTTCAGTTGAAGAGTGCTCATACCAGTTTGGTTCTAGGTGCTTTACAATTTTCATAACCAAAACTGAGTACTTGGAACGTTTTTTTTGCAAAATACACTCTCTCCTCCTTCCCTCACCCCTTCTCTCCCTCTCTTTCTCTCCCTCCCCCCTCCCCCCCCCCCCCCCTCTCTCTCTCCCACACACACACACACACACACACTCACATTATATGGTTTGAATTCTGTGCTCTACAGTTGATGATCCGATGATTGAGGAAGCCTTGTCAGACTTTGCTTCCGACGATGAAGACATAAATGAAGATAAGGACAGTGACTTCCAGGTGGAAGGAGAAGACGACTCTGGCAGCGACTGGGAGAAAAAACAAAAGGCAAGATTCTCAACCACAAACTAATTTGTGTGGATTGATTGTTATTTTCTAGAATGCTCATCACTTTCCTGCTCTATGCTAGAATTCTATAATATTGTAACGTGTCTTTACATTTCTTGTATTGTTCTCTCGCTTTGTTTTAAGGATTCTCCGATGAACAGTCTTGATTGTTACTGAGATTGTATGCATCTCGTTAGTGGCATTCCACATATTTTTTCATGATATGCTTTCTTTTTTTCTTTAATTTCCTTGAGATGGGTTGTAAATTATATTAAGCAAATATTGTTTTTCAGGAAATGAAATGAAACCGAACACTCAGATGCACTTGAAATGAAAAAGTATTTTTGTAAGTTTATGCATGACAAAGGCTGTTTCACTTATCTAGCAGTGCCATGACAAGATTGTTTCTCTTTTTGTCCAGCAGGCACCCAGAGTGAGTAAAAGCCGCGCCCCTCCTCGAGCTGCTACCAAAAGGGGAGCAGGGAAGAAGAAAAAGCCTCGTCGCCCCAGCCGTGCTAGAAATGATTCGGATGACGACGATGAAGATGACCTTGAAGATGATGAACCATATGTTCCACGTCCTTCAAAAAGAAGAGGAGGAGGAAAGCTATCTCGAGACTCGGACGAAAGTGATGATGATAAGAAGAAAAAGAGGCGGCGAGAACCTTGCCAATATGGAAAAAAATGCTACAGGTAACTTGTGTGTGAATGCTCAGTCTATCGTGTTGTGTGTTAGAATGTGAGCAAATGTTACCTTTTTTTCCTTCCATCATGTTGGCCTCTAATATACCGGAATGGACTTTTGGCACGTTTCCCTACTACTTTGACCCTGTAAGCTGAAACACAGGCCTGAGTTCACGCTACCTGTACCCTTCTGTGTATAGTGAGCATGCTTCAACTGTGGTGTTTTTAAAATATAGTATATATTTTACACCCTCAACAATACAGTCTAGATAATTTAGAACATGAGACTCCGGCATGGGGAACAAGCTCTACCCAAACAGACAACAACACCTATAGACCTTCTCTTACTGGCACTGAACTAATTGTGGAAGTTCAGACAGCTGGGGCAAGTAAGTAAGTCGGTCATTTAGAAGCCTGTCAACTGAAGCTGAAAGGGGTACAGCACCCCAACTCGATAAAATTGGCATCCTCACACAGATTCAAACTCACATATTTTGCATGCTACAATGAAAAGCTTTATCGTTTGATCACTGACACCAGCTGAGTAAGTGTGTGTGTTGGAGGGTTTCTTATTTTACACTCTTTTATTAAATAAAACTTGATGTCTTCAAAAGAGAAGATAGAAAAGTAATAAAGAAATTAAATCCGTGTCAACATTGTGTCCACAGGAAGAATCCAGTCCATTTCAGAACATTCTGCCATCCAGGGGATTCCAGCTATGATGAGGAGGACAAGGATTCCTCACCCTCAGGGAAAGAGAGCACAAGGTAGGAGTTATGGGCACGATCCTCGGCTTTGATGATTTTGAGACTGTTTTCTTGTGTTTTATTGGCTTAAGAGATGGAGAGTGAGTTAAAGGTTGTTTTGATTTGTTGTTTTTAGGGAATTGAGAGAGGGCTCTGTCATTTGTACAGGTTTGTGGAGTTTCTGCATTTGTACGGCTTTTGTATAACAACCCGTTTCTTTATTTGATAGGCACAAGGAATTCATAAAGTTCCATGACTAGGTAAAATTTGAATAGACTTCATCTACCTTCATTGATTGCGTCCACCAAAATTGCTTTCTCAAAATATAAATCAAACAATTAGGCAGAGACAAACGTAACTTTTACGATACTTAAATCAACATAAATGCTTTGAACATCTTTCTCTCTGGAAAAGTTGAATGTAAAAGGCAAGGTTGGCCAAAAATTATGCACACTTAAAAACTTGTACAAATGGATAATGAAAAAAGATGAGGATGATAGAAGTTTTTAGAGAGCGTCGTAACTCAGAAATCAGCGGTGAACTATGATTGCTGATGTCTGTTTCAGATCTGGCACTTGAAGTAGAAAAAGTCAACAAAAAGACGTCAGATTTTCTGAATTGGACAACAATCCAGGGAAAGATTTTTAGAAAGACCACTGATTTTGAAGTTGGACCCTACATTTGTGGTGCCTCCAAGTAACTTGAGCACATTCTATTTCTCTCTAGGTTTATTTTACTAATCCTTGATTTTATCTGCCTTTCCTTCGTTATAGGAAAGAGAAAGAAAGCAGAGCCAGTCCTGAGAAACCAAGTCGGCCTCAGAGGAGCACAGCAGGTAACCAGTTTGTTTTTTGTTTTTTCGGTTGTTGTTTTTTTCTCACTTGTAAATTGTTTGTAGATTTTTAAAAGCATTTGTGTGTTGTCGTCCTAAATCTGTAGTTCTGCCATCTTCTGGTACTGTTGTACTTTTGTACAAATTCTAACGAGTACTTAAAAATGAGATGTACCATTTTCTCTCAGAAGTGCTGTCAGATTTGCTATGCCTCTTAAGCTCTTGTAAATTAAATGACTGATCTTTCTTGAGATTTAATTTAATAAAATTTTAATTTATGTTTAAAATCCTGTTTTTTCTTCCCATGACCTCCCCTCAGGTACCCGGCTAGTCACTCACGGTGTCGACGATGACGATCTCCCTGACACATACGACTACAATGACAGCTTCATTGATGATGACGCCACTCAGCAGACGGACAATTCCGGTGGCGAGGATGATTCCGACTATGATGCAGAAGAAGACGTCCGGGGTCTTGCCAAGGATGCAAAGAAGTTTGTTAAGAACAAGAAACTGAACAAACCAGTGGGGAAAGTTATTCAGCCAGACACTTCTTAATGAGGCGTGGGCTGTGGTGGAAGCAGGTGGACTCTGAATCTTCACTCTCTCTCTAAGCACACAATAAAGCTTTGATCTTGATGGAGTAAAATGGTATCTCAAACTAGAAAAAGAAGGGTGTGTGGTCATGCAAAAGGAGTAGCATTTTTACAAATATAGATGTTCAGAATGATTCTTTCCCCACCCCTTCAAAAGGAATCTTGTGAAATAAATTACTCTGATTGAAAGACTTGTCATATGCCAGAAGTAGATGGAATGCAGTTTGTATTGTACCCCTGCCCTTGCTGCGGACATGATGAGTTAAGGCTATGCCAGAATTTTCTGCGAGATGTAGTCCTGAGTGTATTATTAGCTTGTGCCACTGAGACCTGTCTGGTTTATCAGCCTGTTTTATTCACCAGTTTTAATGGTTGTGAATGAGAATACAGCTGGCAATCTCAAAGAACTTATATATGAAATTCTGATCAATGTAGTTACAGCTTTCAGGGACTTTGTTTTGCCAAATAAACCCGTCTTTGTCTGAGGTTGGTTGGTACAATGTTTAGATGACTGTTCTAGTTGCTAGAACATTCTGTTGGATGATCAAAGTAATTCACAACAGCTTTTATTACTGCATACATTCATAAGTTGGCTATATTTTTGCAATCGATGGGTCTTGCGTGTGGAAGGAGCAGTTTCAGTGAACATATTTCAGAGCTGGCTATTATCTTTATGCAAACCAAGTCAGATTGCATGGTGGTAGTTTTTGTCTCTCTGAGGGACTATTGTTAAGGCAGCAGACACGGCAGATTTATGTTTGGCTTTAGTTCCTCGGGCTGAGGAGCCAACAGCTGTTGTACAAGAGTATTTGAGCTATAAAAAAAAACACACTATTGTCTTCATCATTATCCTCTACACTTGTGCATTTGTATACATGATCTGTTTTTATGCTGAGCAAAAAAAATTTTTTAATGAAAATCATTGTGGTTCTTCCATTGAGTTGGTGCATGCGAAAATTGCTGTAGTGATTTCATGTTGTTGTTGATTTTGTTGCTTTTGGTTGTAGCCTATGTTTTCTCAGCATTGCTTTGGGGTTTGTGTTCAGGGGGTGGGTTTTTTTGTTTTTTTTTGTCAGATGTTTTTCATGCTGATAATGTCAATGATTATTAGCTTGTATAAGCTGTTTATGGTTGGCGGAAGGATGAAGTTTTGTTGACAAAGGGAAAAGTGTTCTGAGAATAACAAAGATCATGTCTATGTTTGTGGGTCTTGTAGTGAGTATATATATATGAAGACAGCATGCTTATTTTTCTTGGTGTACTGTTTCTTATAACCATTAGCTTTTATGTTCCAGGATTTACATCTGCAGGGTTTTCTGTTAAAAGTGGTGCTGTGGTTCAATTGGAAGACATTAATTGTGTGCTCGAGCTCAAATTGTAAAACTTGTAATTGATGATACAACACAAGTAAGGGCATTTAGAAAAAAATCACAAGAGACGTCACTGTCCTTTTTCTTATTCTTTGAAACCATTCTGGGTTGGTTTATATGTTGGTAAAATTTCCTTGCCATTTCTCTACGTCGACCTCACAGCTTACATTTTTCTTTTTATCACGTAAAACATTCTCGTAGCAATGCCCACCCCCCTCCCAATAAGTTGACTCTGGTTCTTTCACTATGTAGTGTAGAAAGTAGTCGACTTTGAAAATATCTCTTGAGTGTCTCTATCTGTCTGCTGAGATGCTGTGTCGCATACTCCTCAAGGACTGGCCCTGACTGGCATGCTCAAAGCTCAAAGCCGCCCACTTAAGTTGTATGGATGGGGATGCAAAACATTTGCAGACAATCAAAGAGCATCTAAATCGGCGATGTTGCCCCTTGCCCTTTTTTTTTCCCAGACTGAAGCTGAAATACTAACACCAGCTATGGTAATGACTCCTAGCAGAGGGCACCCCTTGTAGTGGCATTAGTTGTGTTGAACACCTATGTGAGCATGAAGCGATGTCTTACCATGTAAATAATTTAGTGGGGGAACTGGACTCTGTTGGCAACGACATTGGCACCTGGCTGAAGGATTCAGTGTTAAGTTTCACCATCACAGAATTTAAACTTGTGATAACTGGTATATTATGAGAATGTGACTGTTTATTAACAAGTGTACTAGAATGTTGTGAAGACTATCTTTGACAGCACTGCATCAATGCCAGTTGAAAGTCAAATTTCTCAGATTTAACAATGTTCTATTCCACATTCTGGAATATTATTCATGTGATCATGCGACAGAAAAAAAAGAAACAACAAATGTTTATTAAAAAATTTCTTTTTAAAGTGAAGATTACTTTCAGCAGTGCAAGAGAAGTTCTTTTCATAGTGGCGATAATTTTAGTGTGATGTTTGTTCTGTGTGCAATACGTGATGGAGACAAAGTTTAGGATCAATGGTAGCAGAGAAAATAGTCCTGACAAAGAGAATGTAATATATATATATATATATATAATGTTTTTGTCCCCCCTAAAGTTGACACGTGGCTTGTGGCTTGTCCCAATCAACCACACCACAGCTGCTGGTGCAAAAAATGAGATGCGTGAGACGGGGAAAGAAGGAAAGTCTATGGGTGTTAATCTATAGTGTAACTTCGGTGATGGGAGACTGCGAGTTAGACTTGTGCTGGATAGATGCAGCCTAACCTTATTAAAGTCTACCCAGCAGACAAGAAGTGAAGAAGAAAAAAAAAACAGATAAAAATAAAATGCATCTTTTATTGATCTTCATGAGAGAATCTGATTGGCAAAGGCAAGTAGCCTACCATACAAGAAGAAAAGATGTGTCAACCTTGATCTTGTTCTACATGGATTGTATTAGCAAGTTCAGGCTCAAGTCTGATTAGTTTTGTAGCTTGTTGTTTTGCGAAGTGAATAGGCCCTCGGTTGCTGTCGAGCTTCTCTGTGCTGGGGTTGTTGATCAGTCGGAGTGAACTTACTGTTATGGACAAGAAGTAGGCTACATGAAAAAAGGAAAACAAATTCACAGATGCTCAGAGAAAATGTGTTGTTTCCCCATGGTATGTCTTGTTTTGATCAGCATTATTTTAAGATGTATGCTCTGATACTGAAACATTTGATCTTGTTCTGTTTTAATTTTGTTTTATTTTTTCAAAGAAAAAAGTACAAATAGAACACCTTTTATAACCTTTGGTCGTATTTGTCTTAAGGCCTAGTAGCTGTCTTTTTTTTTTTTTTACTTGAGACACTGGTATGTAAACTGTCTATCTTCCCTTGTTTGAATATTTTATGAATTTCTTAATTTGCCTTGAATTTTTAGATTTTATCGAAAGACCAAATTCACTTATTAACTTATTACTGTATTGTCACAGGATGAACGTGTATGTTTTCAGTCAGGCATGGATAACAAAAACACATCAGAGATTGACAAATGTGTTCGATACATCCATAATTCAGGTGAACTTATTACGAATGATTAGTTAAAAAGAGATATCAGTTGTGGAATGGCAAATTGTACAAAAGCAATCCATGATTTTGAGTTTTATCTGTTTAGTTTGTGTTTTCTGTGGCCTACTGTTTTTGTCAATCACTCTGTAGACCGAAGGGCTAGAACCCAAATGGCCGCTGGATCGGAAAAATAAAGTAAAGTAAAGTCAATCACTCTGTCAAGTTTCTACTGCTGGGCTTGGAATTGGGGAAATCTTTGTTAGAGTAGGTGCCATTGTAGTGAAAGTATTTGCGAGGATTCCTTCTGTTCCATCCTTAGTAGATTCAGACAGCATTATGATGAGGATGTATCTCGTGTAAATTCTTCAGAAACAAAATATGGACAATGGCTTGTTGTTCTCAGTCAGATCATCCACGGTGTCGGAGCACCTCAGTCGACACAAAAATGTTTGCGTAGTTAGGAATATATAAGACACTATCATATTGAATTAGTTTTCAGTGTTATCTGCCGTACGTTGTATCAACACGTTGGCATTTTACGTGTGATAGGTAGGTTGGGGTACACATTCACGGGCCACCTCTACCCCAGTTGACACCACTAGCTAGCTGTGGCTTACTGGTGTCTTCGGAGTAAGTCAGGCTCTTGGCTGTTGCATGCAGAAGTGAGTTTGATTCCTATGTGTGGAAGTGGAAATTATTTTATTCAGTACATCCGTCTTTCTGCTGTGATGTTGTATGGATGAGCCCAGTCGGTCCTCTTCTTCAACTCTTAAGTGTGTTGATGGGGGCATAGAACATTTGTGTGCATGTCTGGTGAAAGGTAGGCCTACATGTACCATTTGATGCATTTTGAAAAATTGCGTTTTATTGCTTTTTATACAGTGGAACTCGGATTCAACGAGGTCGTCGGGCCTGACCTGAAATCTCGTTGAATCCGAGTTCTCGTTATAGGAAACACGAGGTTTTGTGTAGATAAATACAGGCACTGAGCAAGTAATGTACAAGAGAAGTCACAAGTAGTGCCTGAAATGCCTGCATATTATGAGCTGTGTAAAAAAAAAAAAAAAACGATTCGTTCAAATACACACGCCTGTGTCATCTCGATTGTTTACCAAAAAGTTGTATTGCTGTGTAGAGCCTAGTATACGGCAACTTTTGATTCCATAGACCAGTGCGCAATTCATTACGTAGATCTACGTCAAGACTAGCGTATTATTGTAATAATGATCAGTTGCCGAGGGGAAAAAAAGACTTTGATGCGTTTGTATCTGCGACGTTCAACGTCCGGACCGCTAGTGCCCCCTCCCCGACACACACACAGGGCACACACGTGTGCAGGCCGCCCACCTGACCCCGACACACGCCAGAGTAGACACGTGCGCGTGCCAACAACTACATGTGTTGGTATTTAAAAAGGCCGCTGATTGGTAGCATGCAATCGGCTAAGCGAATAATGGTTCACGATGCAGGTGCGATGGATGGTTTCCGGGAATAGTTACTGTTCGTTCTGGGAGAAAAATGAGCGAAGCCACGTCTGTGGGGGTGTTCACCCTGGAAGCGACCTCGTTGAATCCGAGATCGCTGATTTAAGTGCTCGTTGAATCCGGGTTACTTTTATTGATTTTGAATTAGAAAAAAAAAACGGGGAATCTATTTCATCTCATTGAATCCGAGTTTTCGTTGAATCCGAGCTCGTTAAATCCGAGTTCCACTGTAGTACAAAAATAATTTTTGAATAGCTTGGATTTTTAAAAAAGTTTTAAGATAGCTTCAGTATCCTTCCAAGTTTACGAGATTTGGTTAATATTGTCAGGTAGGGTGCTGAAAGTTTTGAAAAAAAATAGCTTTAAGGTTTCCTCTAGATCTGGATCTATTTCTACTCCTAATAAATTATTGATCAGTCAGCCAGCCATTTGGTTTTTCTCTGCTACCTTAGACGTCACTACTACTACATAAAGTGCAAACTTAAAAAACGCAGTCTAAGACAAACACTGTGATGGGGTTTTTATTTTTTATGAACGCGTTGATTCGTAGAAACCTTTCACAAATAGCCTCTGACAGCAAATGTTCTCAAGCTGTCTGTGTTAATGTGTAAGATGACCTGTGTCAAGAAACACCTTCAAAGATAAATTTTTAGAGTGGAATAAACACAAAACCTGGTAAATTCAGTAGGTGACTAACTAAAGAGTACATTTTTAATGCGACTCAAGTTTTGTTTTTAAAATTCGATTTTTGACCTGTACCACCGTGTATCTCAGTTCGAGCAAATAAAATGTATCTTACGGTATCTTTCACCAGGCACGCACACATTTGTAGTTATTCACAAGCCGCATCTTTCTCTCTCCACAACTTTGACATATTAGCATGATGTGCGCGTGTACTGAAATGAGTGTGGTTTTGGGAGTGTAGTCCTCTGCAGCATCTTGAAAGACATTAAATAGGCATCGAGCCCTACTGCAGTTCAAATGTCACAGCTTTGTTTTGTAGTTGTATTTTGACCACAGTTAAAGTTGCTTGGCCTGTGGTCAAATGCTGGGTTTTTTGGTATGACAATGCAGTATAGATCTGTGACTGAATACATATATGTACACATTTCATCCTTGTCCTATACATTTTTCTCTGTTTAGACATACGTTTCCGCCGAAATTTTAGTGGTATTGAATAGGTAGGGACGGTATAATAAGGTTACTAAAAGCATTTTCTTTTGCAAGTCATGCTTTTCCTTAGCTTGTTTCTGTCAGTCAACTTTTTAAAAGTGATATTAGAAATGCCAGTAGCATGTCAGCCTCACAAGTTCTGGTCCCACATCATGTTTTTAAGAAATTATATTATGATTAAAGTTTATGTAAGATTATTTTATGTAAATACAATATCAGTGAAATTATGTTAATTAGCATTTTTTATACCCATTTTAAATGGTATGTGTTCTCATTGTAAATCTGTTTGTTTCCCAGTGTTTGTCTCTAGCTGCGGGCCAAGAGATGGATATGTGGCATTCTTTTGTACCTTGTTTACTTCATGGTCATCAGTTCTGGTCTTATGTTGTTATATTGCGTAGTTATTTTGGGTTATCAATTTATCATATCCTGTGACTATTTCTAGATAACTTATCTGTAGTTTGTGTGTTGAAGTACGCAACTGAATTTTGGTTATACATGTATGTTTTTGAAAAAGGTATATAAAAAAAATACTATTCAATGTCGATAAGTGTCGGCTAATCAAGATGTCTTTACATTTATTTTTCATCATTTTTATCTCATCTACATCAATAAAAATGCATCTGTGAATGTTGTTTTTTTGTTTGCGTTGGTTTTTACTAGTTTCAGTGTATTAAAAGTTTGCTGATATTGCTCACTTTGAAAATAGTAGTTTTTAATTTTACTGCACACCTCAAATTCTGAGGGATAAGAAAATGATACCACATTTTCATATTGCCTTGAGGTATCTTGCTGCTGAATGGCTGAATATTTTGTAAATTTGAAAACAAGTCTATCTAAAAATGCCGTTAAAGTTGTCTTACTCAACTTTCTTTCTTGTACCACGAAATTTTAAGATTTAAGGGACACATTCAGTTTAAACATTCAGACAGAGCAGAGTCACTTCCCCTCACTAGTACCCTGCTCGCCCCTTGGTCATACCAATTTGGTTAGAGGTGATTTTAGTCTACAGGAAATGCGTTGCGGCGTTTGAGTAGTCGCCAACCTCGCTTCGCCCTTTCCATGCAAGCACCAAGAAGTTGGGGCAGATATGTTAAGACAGCACTTCATTTCTGGCACCAAAACTGATGAGCGGTGTTTAAAATGGACAGATTGTAGGTAAATTCTTTTACTTTAGTAAAATGATAAAGAAATTCCGCTGGTGACAATGGTTATCAAAACTTGGTTCTCCTCTTTTTCCAAAAATTATAGTCCAATTTTAGAAAGGAAAAGTAGAAATGTATCAGGTCTCATTCTTGTGTGTTCTAAACACTGTTCCTCATTTGAACGTACTTCATCCACTAATTAATGATGATATTCCCCATGTCCAGGGCAGCGTTGGTGGATTTTGTGCACTCAGTAGCGGCGTCTGATTTTACTTCGGTTACTCAAAGAATGTAAGAGCATCCACTCCACTGAAGCACAACTTCTTTCTCCATCTTGCAAACTGACAATAAATGAAATGTCTCTACTCCGTCTCTGACAGGCCCCTTGCTAACCCCTCCCCTTGCTAGTCCCAAATGAGGAGAGGAAGGGGAGGAGAAAGGTCGTGCAAGTACATGTACATGTAGCTTTACTCTCTCTGTACCCTAAGTCTGTGACATGACAAGAACATCTGGTTACTTGAGGGAGGCTTTGCGTTGTCATGAGAGGTTTTTTTTTGTAGAGGTTTTACGAAGCAAACCACACCAGAGCACCCGCCAACCTCCCACTTGCCAAGAGAGCTCACAGCTAAAGGGATTTGAAAACAAGAAGAAGAAGTCTGTGACTGGAGAAAAGGCTCAATGATTCCTACATTGTAATGGAGTGCTTGAAGAGAATTGTACTCTCTTTTTCTAAAACACCCTTCAGATTTTTTACTGTCCCTTTCAACGTCTGTGTAAGATTTGTTTTGTCCCTTATAACATCTTTTTTTAAAATAATATCTTTAGAATTTTTTTTCCGTCCCTTAACTTTCAACCTTTCAACATCCTGCAAAGTTTGTTGTCCTTTTATTTAAACATTCTTAAGATTTGTTCCGTCTCTTTCAAAATCAATGGGGTTTGTTTTGCCCCTTTCAACATGATTTAATCTGATGCTTTTTTTTATCAGATTACTGCACGTCAGTCTGCATGTTATGCTAGGAACAACTTCGACAATTGTCATACTTGTCTTACTTGTCCACTGTGTTGGGGTCACTGCAGACGGAAAATGGGGGCTCTTGTGGCCTAGAGGTTAAGGTGTTGGCCTCTCACTCAAAAGGTCCCGGGTTCGAATCCGGGTAGCAACCGAAAAAATTTTCTTCTCTAAAATTGTCTCCTTTAACCTCCTTTCCTGCTCTCTAGCAATATTCTGTCGTCTGCTTTCGTCTCCTCTTTCTGCCCCCACCTCCTTTGCCCCCTCCTCTGGGCTCCTGACTCTTTCTGCAGTCTTTCTACTGCTACTCCTTGGCTCCTCCTTACCGCTGTCTTTCTGCCACACCCCTGATCTAGTGGTAGGAAAGATCTACACCTAGCCTTCTCGGACAAGGGCGAAAAATCTCGGAGGGCCTGTGTGCAAGTTGCGCACGTTAAAGATCCCTTGGTGGTCTAAAATCGACAAGAGTAGGCTTCGGCCACCACCCGGGCAAAATTCAAAATTTCCTACCAACTGAAAATATTAGGTGTGTCCCGCACGCTCATATGACCTTATGCAGTTGCGAGCGCCGTAAAACACTTAACAAAAACAAAACAAAACAAGACGGAAAATGTCCATCTCTGCTCTCCCCTCCTCTTCAGGATCCATCCCAGAGTCTGTCTGCTTATAGTCTCCATCACAATCTGGTCCGCACAGATGGCTGTGTTTCTCCTCTCCTCTCTGGATCCCCTTCTCCTTCAATCTACATAGAGTGTGGGAACCGCTATCCGCCCTATTCTTCCTCAAATTTTCCCTTACAGCGGTTAGGACGGCTGGTGGGTCCTGATCGTAGCCTTCCAGTCCACATACAGCATCCCTTTCTGTACCTTCTGTAGTGTGCTCATTGAGACAGTAATGATTACTGTTCGCTGATGGCTTGTGTTCTTGATCCAGTGTAGAGCCTCACTTATGGCTTTTATCTCTATAAACATACTTGATGTAGTCAGTGCAGTTGCTCCACTTTGCTCTTTCACTACTACCCAATCAACTCTGACACTGAAGGCCCAGCCGGATTTGACTCCTCTGTTGACTGATCCATCCGTGACGATCACAGCATCTCCATGTTCGCTATGCTCTTCTATCAGCATTTCAATTTCAGCGTTTGTAGCTCCAAGTGGCCAGTTGCGACATTCTCTACCCAAAGTTGCCTTCACTGTTGTGTACTCTCCGAGCGCATCTTCGACCACAACCCAATCCCTGCCTCTCCTGATGTCTTGTATCTGGCAGCACTCGTTGATGATGTTCGTGGCTTGAGTCATCTATTCTGTGCTCCTCTTTAGCCTTGGTGTCATCTGCCGTCCCACTTTCTTATGTAGAGGGTTCGTCTCGTCTGCGCTGACTCGCAGAAAGGCTTGGACTTGTGCCAGTTTGTGCCTCTAGTCTGCACATTGGAAGTCTAGGAAGTATCTCATTGCTTCAGTTGAGGTGTCATGTGTGCACCCCAGGATTGTCCTCATTCCTTCATTTTGTAACACCTCGAGTCGTTGCAGTTGCGCCTTTGACAGGGTCAAGAGTCCGAGCCCGTACTCTACGACAGAGAGTACCAGTGTCTGGTAGAGGATGACAAGGATTGCTCATCTTAGCTCTGGCCATCATCTGAAGGGCTGTTAGGCCTTTTCTCGCCCTGGAGATTGTTCTCGTGATATGATCTTTGCTAGAGATGGTGCAATCAAACGTGATGCTCAAGTACTTCAGTGTGGGTTCCCTCTTCAGCACTTTGCCTCCAATCGAAATACTTGGCATGTCATCGTGCACTGCATGGTTATTCAGTGTACACCACAGTGCACAGGATTTGTCTGGGTGCAGATTCCCGTTGTTCGCTTCACACTACTGTTCAAGTCTACCGAGTTCTTTCTGTACTCTCTCCGCTGTAACCTGGCGGTTCTTGCCCTGCCTGTACACCAGCACATCATCAGCAAAACTGAGTACACGTCCGGGCCCTTCCAGCTGGTTGGATGTTATTGTTATCCCTATTGTACAAACGTTGAACAGAACTGGCGAGAGTGCATGTCCCTGTGGTAAGCCTGGTGTGCAGATCCCTGTGGTAAGCCTGGTGTGCAGATCCCTGTGGTAAGCCTGGTGTGCAGATCCCTGTGGTAAGCCTGGTGTGCAGATCCCTGTGGTAAGCCTGGGGTGATCTCGGTAGGTTGCGAAGCCCAGCAACCAACACGTAGGGCTACCTTTTGTTTGAGCAGCGCTGCCCCAATCCATTGTACTAAATGTGGATCTACCCTCACGTTGACTAGAGTCCTCATGAGGGTGTCGTACTGAACTCTGTTGTAGGCATCTTCCAGGTCTAGTGCTGCTAGCAGAGTTTCTCCCCCCCCCCCCCCCCTGTTCGAAGCCATCATATACGTCAACAATTACAAAGTGATAACAGAGGAGAGTTTGGAGTAACTGTCCAAATTCCTTGTTCATGTAAACAAGAAAACAGATTTTTATGGCAAGGTGTAAACTGGAACACCAAGACATCAGCTCAAGAGAAATTCCAAAAATAAACAGACATGGTGGCATGTTGTTTGAATACATGTACCTCGCTTTTGCTATTTTGGGCATTTTGGTAAATAAGGACATACATGAATACATGTAGTCACTTCTGGCTCTCAGCAGACAAATTATGCACTCTCAATATAAGAAGTAGGAGAAGACCATAGCAGACAGTCCACCAACCATTGGCTAGAAGCTGGCTCTTAATGATCCCGATTGACTTGACTGAGAACATGTGAACCAGCAGCATGCCCAGTCACTGGGTCAGTTAATATAGAAACGACAGTCCTGTCACGAGTTTCCAGTGTTCTGTACTCGCAGCTTAGGCCAGAACAATGATAAGAATTCTCATCTGAGCAGACATGGAATAGTTCACTTTGGGTTTGCTTGTTTTTTTACAGGTTTCATACACCTCCTGGTCCTGAGGCATTAATAAGGACAGAGCAATTAGTCTTCCCTGATGAGGATTTTCTTAAAAACTTTTGAGTTTTTTTAAGTTCAAGTTGTGAGCATCAAATAAATCTTGACTGTAGAATGGTTAGAAGGCTAAGCCGCCTGAACAAACATTTAATAAAATCCCAATACAAGACAAATAAATTAATCAAATATGAGTGCTTTTATGCCCTCATTGGCACAATTTAGTTCATTCAGAAGGAAAGCTTCGACCCTGTCTGTTGAAACCAATCCGTGCTGAGAGGGATACGATAATTGACCCGGCAGAAAGACTAACACTTGATAAAATTCTCTACACAGGAAATGAACTCAGATCTTCTGCATGAGACGGCAAAGTGCCTAACTGCTACACCACAGGCATAAGTATACAAAACTGAAAGAACCATGGTCAAAACAAAGATACCTTACAAACAACAGAATGGTGCAACCAGAAAACAAGGGGGAAACTCACATCTGTTGGCTTACTTAATGAGCTTTTGTTGTTGGCAATCCCAGAGGCCTAGACCAGGAGAAAAGCAGAAAACAAAGCTGAAAGTAAGAACGGATTTGCATGAATTTTACAAGTCATTCGGACTTGAACTGATGAAGAACACAGTGCAAAGAGCATTGTGAATACTATTAATAATAACACTAAGCTAATTTTGCTTTTAAAAAAAAACAAGCCACAACAAACGTCAGTATTCTTTTTCTTTCAGCTATAATATTCCTGTTTATTGGCTTAACAAAAAGGTGACAATCAAATTATAATGATGTTAATAATACTAATAGCAAAACACAACATGTTCATTACCACAAAGATGCTTGCCACACTGTGAAATGAGCAACACTTTGTGCTTAAGTCTAAGGTCAGTTATCAAAACGACAAAGGGCGACCTGCAGCAGGAAAACTACATGGCACGACAGAACATTTTTTACACTATGATTATTATTATATATATATGTATATGTGTGTGTTTGCGTGTGTGTGTTATACGAATGTTTCAAATTTTTTTAACGGGTCACTTTCTTCACTGACAATAACGTACGGGCGGGAGTTGCGGCGCCAAAATCAATCCGTGAACTAAAACATATCCCCCTTTGCAGAGAACCAAGAAATAGACAAAATTACAGTGCCAAGATAAACAATGCCATTTCACGTCCTTAGCAAGACACTAGTCGATCATCTTACAAATATCCCCAATCTGATTTTATTTTCTGAGATTCTTCAAAGTATTTCCACATCAAAACCAAACAAATGAAAGTGGAAAAATCAAGAAAAAGAACCTTGAATTATCCAACTTCCAACTTCAATGAACCGTAATCAGGGCTTGAGCAAAAAGATATTTATTTTAGAATATCATTAATGATCATTTAAATGCTGCGGTGAAATACATCTGTATGTGTGCACTCTTCAAAAACGATCTGAACCCAGACTTGTGACATCAGCTCTCCAACATCCCACTACAAGAAAGTAAAAAAATATAAGTCAAAGTTCGGCTTGTATTCATTAGGCCAACTTGTAAAAAAGTTTGTCTCAATTTTGACTTTGTAAACAAATTCAAAGATCTTGGTAAGGTGTTCTAAGAAAAGAGTCAATCATCATAACAACAAGAAAATCAAGATTTACATTTCTCAAAATTGTTTTAAAAGCAAATACACAAGTAAACTGTAAAAAAAATATGAATGACTCTTCAATGGTTCACAACCATCATGCAAAGAAAGAGAAAGACTGAAATAATTTCAAATTTTATCTAATCGACAAAGATGGGGGAAAATGAATATCACAGTACATTAAATGCATTACACTATTCCACAGTAGACATTTTAACAGTGCACTCATCCAGAGAAAAGAGACATGCAAACCACTTCAACAGTACAATTGTACAAAAGAACAAAATAATCAACAGTTGATTTGAGCTGGAATATCTCAAAAACAAAAGTGAAAGCTGCATCTTTTCACGCTATCTCAATGAACAAAACAATTTAGTACACTAACAGTCTAAGGATACTTAAATTAAATTATCCTTATGACACATCACCTTTACAGAGCAGCAAGATAGGCACATTGTTTCATCAACAAACTAACAAACTACACAACATTGATGCTCCTCCGACAGATCTGTCAGGGGCATCACCCATCACTGGACCCTTGACTCGCAGCTCTCATGACAACGGTCGACCGGGAGGGGTGGGGCGGGGTGGGCTAGGATGGGGTGCCTTCTGGTTTATGACTGTACGGGCATGTTGGTGGCTGGCCGGGTCGACACCGCATCCTCTCCACGCCACATCTGAGTGACCGTCTTGATCTGGGTGTAGAACTGGATGCCCTGAGAAATCAAAAGAACAAATTATGATGATAAAATGTCAATGTATGAAATTTTTTAGTCTTAAATGTATAGACTTTGCAGCACAACCACCCTTGCAATAAACGGAAGCTACTTTTTCGTTTGAGAGACATATACCAATTCTTGTAGGCCACAAGTACAAGGCAGTCATTAAGACATAACCTATTCAACAACTATTCTGCAATACACTCAAAAGGCCCATCTCTTAGTAAGCATTTTATGGCACTTGCAACACAATTAGGTCATATAGGTGCCGAAGAGTAGAGGTGTTAAAAGAGAGTAACAAACAAAAAAAGGAGAAGGAGAGATAAAGTCGATAGATGTTTGATAGGAAAGAAGGATCAAACCACACCCGAGCACCTGCCAAACACCCCATAAAGGCCCATCAGGATTAAATAAATACCCCAGGCCACGTGGAACATTAGGCCTACATCCCAGCAAGAAAACGGAGAAACTAGACACGAAGAAACTAGACAACATATTTTCCCTAAAAGGAAATTGAACGTGAGGCTCTTGCATGAAAGACTAAGATACGTGTATAAGACATTGCGGCACTCACATTGGTGACAACAAACATGAAAGATGCAATACCTGTTTTCCATAGAAATTCTGGTCTCCTCTGAAGGAGCCTCGGGAACCAGTGAAGGAGAACATAGGCAGAGGCACAGGGATGGGCACATTCACTCCTACCTGTTAAAACAATACAATCTCAATTTTAAAACAACACAGCATCAACAAAAATAGAACGCAGTACCAGCCTCAGCACAAGAGTATAAAATATATATACATATACTAGAAATCTTAAAACGTAGAATAAGGGACACATTCTGGTCAAGTACAAATACTTTTTTTTGTTTGAGTTAAGAAAAGAAAATCAACAAAATGTTACTTATTTACTGCCGTGAAAAAAAGCAAGACAGATAGAGGGACAACATAGGGAAAGAGAAAAGAATCTATCAGAGGCACCCTCAAACAAATAGCATAAAGCAACCCCATTAGCCAAAAAACCTTTCTGAGATTGAACTCTACCTTTCCATGCATTTGTCTAATAACTTCTTTCAAACCTCTCATGCAGCTATCCCATATTTTACCATACACAACAAATTCCAGGATAGCGATAAATCTTTATTTCGAGTAAAGAAGAAGCTAGGGTGACACATAAAGCTATAATGATTCCATTACCAACTCTTGTGAATAGGCAGCATACCAGTCATACAAACAATACGGAAAACAACTGTACAAAATATATTCATGTCCTCAAACAAGAAACAATAGGCCTAACTGTTGCACAAATAAGGCGCTGTAGAGAGGCAGCTAGCCCTGCTGTAACAAATGTGAAATTTTATCCTATTTATTATTTAAAATTCACCTGTCCCACATCACACTCCATGGTGTACTTGCGAGCTGTTGCCCCATTTGTAGTGAAAATAGCTGTTCCGTTTCCGTAAGGGTTGGAGTTTACAACTTCGATGGCATCATCCAAGGTCTCGACTTCCATGCTTACAAGCACTGGCCCAAAGATCTCCTCTGTGTAGCATTTCATGGATGGCTGTGCAAAGATGGCAGGGAAAGGGAGAGGAAAATAAAAATCCAATTTACCTCAACATTTCAAAGAGATGTGTACAATATTTCATTATTGAACAACTAACAATTGGGATTTTTGTCACATTAAAAAGGACCAAAAAAAAAAAAAAAAGAAAGACTTGGCAAAGTTGTTTGAAACAAATCCATGCAAATACAAAGCATACAAAAAGTGGTTGGCATTATATCAGTGAACACAGAGCTCAGAGCAGCAATGTGGCTGAAATAATGGAAATGATTTCATCAGACGCACAAGCAGAGACAACACTCTTAAAATGTACACTTCATTCTTTCTACAGCCACACCATGGAAAATTTGCAAATCTTATCTTTCAGAACCTTTAAAAGCACTAGCACATTTCTACAATAAGATCAAATTGCCCTTATAAATATTGTAAAATGCTTAAGTAAAGTTAGGTCTTCAAGTATGCAAAAAAACATTAGTTTCTGACATTTTAACAATCCTTTCAAATGTTTCCTGACAACGATACACAAACATAGCTCTCTTGTAAAGCTAAACGGGGAGCCGGGGAGGGTGGGGGGGGGGGGGGGGGAGAAAGACCTTGGGACCTTTCACATACTCATGTGTGGGGGGGGAGAGAGAGAGAGAGAGAGAGAGAGAGAGAGAGAGAGAGAGAGAGAGAGAGAGAGAGAGAGAGAGAGAGAGAGAGAGAGAGAGGGAGGGAGGGAGGGAGGGAGAGAGAGAGGGAGAGAGAGAGGGAGAGAGAGATCAAATGAGCAACACAACTTACATCAACTTGATGCAGGATGGTGGGTCCGACAAAGTTTCCATTTTCATAACCTTTGACCTGAATGTCACGGCCATCAAGGAGGATTTCCGCGCCGGCATCGATTCCAGACTGGACCAGGTCGCAGACTCTCTTCTTTGATTCCGGTGAAATCACAGGTCCAAGATCGGCATCGGGCTCAGTACCTGAGTAAACAATAAAAATGACAGTTTCATCTACTTCAACAGGCAAAGGAAAAGTTGCTTCCTAAAAAGTTCAGAATGCTTCGGGTTTGTCAAATAAATCCGTTGGGGTAATATTTAATTATAAAGCACACGCAACCCACTTTCCAACAGAGATATGCCCTACAGTAATGCAGTCTATTATCATCATTATTAGAAGAATTATTATCATCATAACTGTTGTTGTTGTTATTATTACCTTTTGGAGTTCTAACTAAATACGAAAAGAAGTAAAATATCTAATATTATGTAAAGCACACACAGCCTGCTTTCCAACAGAATCATGCTTTACAAAGATGCAGTCTATTATTAACATCATCATTATTGGAAGCATTATCATCATCATAACTGTTGTTGTTATAATTATTACCGTTTGTGGTTCTAAGTAAATATGAAATTAAGTAAAATATAAAACAGCACTGGTGAAAAAATATCATCCAAGAAAAAAAGTTCACTGAAGTAACCAACCTGCGCTGACTTTAAGTTTCCGTGCCCGCTCCACCAGCTCAGGGATCCACTCCCTCGCCTCGCCAACAAAGATGGCTGTGGAGAGAGCCATGCACCGCTGTCCAGCCGCACCAAAGGCAGCACCAATCAGGCTGGTCAAGGTGCTCTCCTTGTTGGCGTCCGGCATAATCACACCGTGGTTCTTGGCACCCATGTTGGACTGGACACGCTTGCCACTCTTGGAGCCACGTTCATAAATGTACTGACCCTGTCAGGAAAAAAATGGCAAAATGCTTTTTGTTATAGTAAGTGTTTTACAGCACTTGCAACACAATTAAGTTGTATAAGTACCGAAGATTAGAGGTGTTACAAGAGAGTAACAAACACAAAAAAAAAGGAAAAGGAGAGATAAGGATGATAGCTGTTTGACAGGAAAGAAGGAGCAAATCACACCAGAGCACCTGGTAACCATCCACAAATTATGGCAAAATGCAATGGAACTTTTCTGCTTGTAAAAGGAACATAATCCCAATCACTACCAAATCAAGCGGAAAGTATGAAAGCTTCATTAGTCAGCTGGGGTGTATCCTCATACAGAGTAAAATCTTGGCTTCATACCAAGACACAATATTATTTTTAACATGTCAAAACAACAAAACGGCAGCCACAGTATACAAGAGCAGCAACAGAGACTTATTTACAAGGAAGAGAGAGAGGGCTTGTAGATCCCTTTATAACTTGTTTCAAATCTTAATAAGTTACATAAATTTCACTCCTAATACTTCTTAGATTTTCAAAACTACATTTAGAAAACCGAACCCCTAATTACATGATACACTCCAATGTTTCACTTTTCTTCATGTTTGCACCAGGGCAGTGAAAAGCTAAGTTTTTCCATTCAAACCAAGCTAATCTAAATACTTACAGCTTGATCTGAGCCCACAAAAGATATAGCTTTAATGTCAGGGTTGTCGCAGATGAAGTTCACAGCTGTTGAACAGAAATAGAAGATTGATACAGAGTAGATGTTTTACACCACAATCAACATAATGGGGGCTCTCGTGGCCTAGAGGTTAAGGTGTTGGCCTCTCATTCAAAGGTCCCGGGTTCGAATCCGGGTAGCGACCGAAAAATTTTCTTCTCTAAAATTGTCTCCTTTCACCTCCTTTCCTGCTCTCTAGCAATGTTCTGTTGTCTGCTTTCATTTCCACTGTCTGCCCCCACCCCCTCACCTCCTTTGCCCCCTCCTCTGGGCTCCTGACTCTTTCTGCAGCCTTTCTACTACTACTCCTTGGCTCCTCCTAACTTTTGTCTTTCTGCCACACCCCTGATCTTCTGGTAGGAAAGATCTACACCTAGCCTTCTCGGAGAAGGGCGAAAAATCTCGGAGGGCCCGTGAGCAAGTTGCGCACGTTAAAGATCCCTTGGTGGTCTAAAAATCGATAAGAGTAGGCTTCGGCCACCACCCGGGCAAAATTCAAAATTTCCTACCAACTGAAAACATTAGGTGTGTCCCGCGCGCTCATATGACCTTATGCAGTTGCGAGCACCGTAAAACACTTTACAAAAAGAAAAAAGAATCAACATAATTCCTATCATTCAAGAAGAAGGCTTCTTCGACAGTCTGTCGGGGTTCACCTGGGCAAAGTGTGGTACAACATCCCAGCAAGAGACAGAAACACTGTAATACAGTTAAAAGGCCACCTGTCCCAAGACAATCACCTGTACAAAACAATCCCCCCCCCCCCCAGAGACAAAGCAAAATAGACATACACAAAGATTTACAGCACTTGCACCACACTTAGGTCATACAAGTGCCAAAGAAGTGTTAAAATAGAGTAACTAACACAAAAAAGAGGGAGGAGAGATATGGACAATAATTTTTTTGATAGGAAAGAAGGAGCAAACCACACTAGAACACCCATTAACTATCCACCATCTGCCAGTGATGCTCTCCAACCTCCCATGCCTCAAAGTGTAAAGGCATAGGTAGGTAGGAAGGTACTTCATTCCGTGTTTAAGGCCATTGGCCTACATCACATAATGCATACAATTGTACCGTTACGAGAGAATTCCCTGAAAATAGCATAAATTGTACACCACACATATCAAAATTTCAAAAATATTTTCTTTAGTTTTAGTTTTAGTACAAGTTTTACGGTGCTCGCAACTCCACGAGGTCATATGAGCGCCAAGGGGTGGGTGTTAACAGAGAAGTCCTTTCAGGGAATCAGACTTACTCTGCTCACCTCTCTATCTTCAACAGCACAAAGTCTGCTTCGACTATCAAGGCACCCCGGAAATAGAGGGTCACAAGAGTGTGACAAACATACAAAAGAAGTAGAGGAAAATGACAATAGTAAGGATTAGGAAAGAAAAAGCAGCAGTTCCCTGTTGTAGTTCAGGCACAGTTATGAGCATGACATTGTTAGATCAGCCTATTTACAATTCTACTGTGCATTAGAACGAGAAATGTCCCCCAGTTGTAAATGGCCTAAAGACACTTCAGTCAGTGGCACCGCCCTGGGGGGTAAAAAATATTTTGTGATGTTAAAAGTTTGCACAGTAAAATAGTATAGGTGGTACACATCCTTGTTTATTTGGGTTGAACATTGCAAATATTTATAACTGGGGCACAGAAACTGAAGCTTAAAAAAAAAAGGCAGAAAGGACTTACAGTCGTGTGTTCCGTGGATCACGTTGACTACACCGGGCGGCATACCAGCTTCCTTGCACAACTCCATAAGGATCATGGTCGCACCTGGGTCGCGCTCTGACGGCTTCATCACTGATGTGTTGCCAGTCACAGCAGCCATCGGGAACATCTAGAGGACGACGGACAAGCAGCAGAACGCAGAGTAAACAACTGTGTTAGCATGTTAACCGTACTATGTTTTCAGACATGGATATTTTGAGCACCTGTGAGTGTATGTTGCAGCACTATATCTTCAGACATATTTTGAGCACAGCACAACAGATATTTTAAACGGAGCACTATGTTTTTAGACTGTTTGAACAGAGTGCTGTGTTCTCGGACAGTAATTCTATAATGAATTTTTTTAAGGCAAAAAAACGCTCAAACATGCTGTGAAATAAGAAAGCATTTACATTTCAACAAAAAAAAAACCTGAGAAAAGAGAGACGTACCCATAGAGGAATCATGGCTGGGAAGTTGAAGGGTGTGATGCCCGCGGTCACGCCCAGAGGCATCCTGAAGGTGAAGGTGTCCATGTCCTTGGCAATGCCTGGCATCGACTCCCCCAACTGGAGAGACGTGATGCTGCAACAATGCTCCACAACCTCTGCAACAGGATAAAATTATTTGTTGACAGCACACAATCGTTTCTGTGAGAATTTTACTGAAGAACGTTGATTAAAGGAACAAAAATGTGTAAATTTACAGTTCAAAGGACACTCAAACTCTGAAAGTCACTAAACTTACGCTGCCATTTTCTCGCTTACCTGACACCAGGCGACCCCCACCGCTTTCATTCACATGTATCTCTACTTATATTACGGATACAAAGGTATTCTTCACCGAAAGCGAGACAAATGGACATGCTTTAAGATTATACCAATAACTCCATATGTCCGTGAAGAGCCCAACCATAACACCACAGACACCAATTTTCAAATATCCCTCAAGATCAAACAGTAGATTCCTAAGCTGAATTGTTCATCCAACTATCTAGATCAATGCCAAAACAGACATGAGGCCTCAAAGCCTGTGAAGCATTCACGGGTTATTGTTCACTTATTTTCACAATTGCGAATATTCCTAACAATGTAGCTGCTTTTACCTCTGATAACTATTGTTTGTTCAACACAATAAAAGTCATCTAGAGCAGGAAAACAGAAAGATAAACAGACAGAAACAATAGAGAGAAAGAAAAGAATGAGGAACCTATCAGTGGCACCCTCCAACCACAGGCTGCACTAACAATGGTAGAACATTGTGTTAATGAGAAAAATATAACACATAATAAAAATAACCAGAGCAAATGAGTGACAAAAAAAACTTACGCAGTCCCCTCAAAACGTCTCCCTCAGCATCAACCAAGGTTTTCCCTTGTTCTAATGTGATATTTGCTGCAAGACGTTTCTGAAACAAGAGAAGTCATTAGTTTTTATGTGAAGGGCTGTGTGACAACATGGGTTATGTCGAATACTTGAACTTATTGAACTTTTACTTTTGATCCCTTAGACATTTAGCTGTATCATCAATCTATACTGTTACAAATATTGTGTTACAAAACATACTGTAACCAATGATTTTATACCACTTCATTTCAGTTTTTTCTGTAACAGTACACAACATGTGAAGATGATGATCAATGTTTTCTATATTTTTCACATTTCGGACATAACGCATTATATTATAAAGTCCTTCATGCCCAGACATTAACATAACGAAGACTTTCATCGAGTCTTTATTTTTCTCATCACTATTTCTGCATTTAACTCATAATGGTATACTACAAAGTACATCTTTGCAACAGAATTTTTAAAATGGGTACAATGATTGAGCAAATTTGTTTTTACTAAAAACAATAGTTTAAATGTGTCAAATTGTTAAAGAATTATTTAAAATGCAGGTGACATACAGTATCATTATTACAGTGTGTCTTTCTACTTCCAATTATATAAATACAGAACTGTCGTCAACCTGTAGTCTGCATTCTGTCAAGATGAAAAAAAAAATTTCTTCTCCAGCTGCAATCACAACAGCTTCAGCTGATCTAAATTTAAATAAAAATTTGTGATGCTCTGTGAAGAGTGGAACACAATAGAGGCCAGCATCGGTGCGTATGGGCAAGATTTTCAGTGCTGGTGTGATAAAGTGTTCTATGTTAAGTTGAAGAATTATTGTATGTAAGTATGCCATTGTAAGCCACACTTCCCAAAAAGGATCGATAAAAGTGCAGTTTTATTCATTAATACTTTCTTTACGTCTAAACACAGGTACCATGTTTTTCTTGATGAGGTCCTGCAGTCTGAACATGATCTGCTGGCGGGTGAGGACGGTAGTGTTGGACCAGGCTGGGAAGGCTGCCTTGGCTGCTGCGACTGCAGCCTCCATTTCTGACCGCGTGCTTTGAGGGACCCTTGTGACCACTTCATTTGTGGCCTGGCAGAAATGAAAATCAATTTACGAGGTATTTTTAGTTGACGACTTGACATACAATGGCAGACAACTGTCAAAATTGTCTTTCCGTTATCCCCATTGCGGTGCAATATGTTTTCTTTCTCCTTTGCAACGCTTTAGAAGGGTTTTACAATGTATTAAAAAATGTATGCTTGGCCCTCTGTTCTAAAGCATGCACTATTCCTTGTGGAGCCCTCCATTTTTTGTTTATCGCTCTTTTCGTAGTTTCTTTTTCTCAATAATTCTCAAAGACCTTTTTTTTAAATCCCTCCACCTTTTCTATCGCTTCTCTCCTTTCGGAGTTTCTCTCCTCTCCC